TAAACTAAAAGTTATTGAGCCTGTTTAGAAATCGTAATATTAAATATAAGATAATTATTAAAATAAAACAAAAGTATTTAAACACATGATCATGCCAAAAATGAAATTCGGACTGATATTTTGTTTGAAATATTTCAATTAGAGAAAGAAAAATGAAGAAACGCCTGCAATACTTCTTTAAACGATATTAGAATTTACACCATATTTCAACATGCTATTCATACACTATCATTCAAAAGGTCAGTAGGGTGTTTTTTTTTGTTTTTTTAAGAAATTCAGATGTTTCATTTGGTAAGTACTCAGTAAACAGATCAAGACTGACAGTAAAGACATTTAGAATAATACAAAGGATTTATATTTCAAATAAATGCATTATTCATTCAAAGAATCCTGAAAAATGTGTAACGGTTTCCACAAAAAAAATAAAATAAATAAATAAATATAAAGCAGCACTGTTTTCTATATTCATGTTTCTTGGGCACCAAATCAGCATATTATAATGATTTCTGAAGGATCATGAGACACTGAAGACTGGAGTAATGGCTGCTGAACATTTAAGTTTGCAATCACATTAATAAACTACATTTTAAAGGGGTCATATGATGTAGCTAAAAAGAACATTATTTGGTGTATTTGGACGAGCCATTTTAGGTAGGCGTGGTTGACTCTTAACTTTTATAAAGAATATCTCTTTGGATTTGAGACTTTAGTCTTTGCAACTTTACAGATCTTCTTTATGCACCAAGAGCTTGTAACACTCCAAAGAGAAAGGAAAAATTGAAATCGCATCATATGACCCCTTTAATATTAAATTTAAAAAAGTTATTTTCAATTGTAATCATTTTTCACAATATTACTGTTTTGTTCTTGTATTTTTTATTTAAAAAATAAAGCAGCTAAAATGCATTAAAAAGCTCCATGACTTTTAACCCCATCAAAATGGGTTAACCAGTCAGATCACATGACTGTTTGAAGAACTTGCAGACTAGACAAAGAGCTCCATAAGTTCTGCATTCAAAATAATTGTCTCCTGTGTTGTGATAACATTACAGAGTGCTAAAGGATGTGAGTGTGTGCATAAAAGAGAAAGTGTGCATGTTCATTCGCATACCTAATTGTCATGAATCTTCTGTTCAACATCCACATCAGTCTAATCGACAATAATGAGTCTCTGTCATGTAAAGTGCAGAGCCTGGAGTACTTTGAAAGCAAAAAAGTTATCAAAATTGGCACAGTTTGTGTTTGGATGATTGCATTACAACAGATGGCCATTAAAAGATCTTTTAACGTGGAGAACAGGCGCTCACAACCTCTGAGAAAAGATAAAAATATAATTAAAACTCCCAAAATGAAGAAAAAAAGACTCAAATAAATTTCATTTCCAGACCTCCACCTCAGCAATTACAGTGTGTGTTTGCTGCCAGACACATTCCTTCATTATCTACACAGCAGGACCATTATCACTTCTGTGTGTATTTACACTGTTAAAAAAAAAATTTCGGACTTGCAAATAAAACAATTATTGAAATACATTTTACAAGAAATTCTACCTAAAAAGTTTCTTCTTGAAATTGTGTGAATATGTTTCATTTAGGATCATGAATGTGCATGCAAAGTTTCAACAAATAGATGTTTTTTGGAAAGGCTTTGTGTTGGGGTCAAATCGCCCCCCATTGTTTTCCATACAACGGTTTTCAGAAAAAGGCAGAGGAAGTAAATATAGCAATAAATACTATGTACAAATAATGTTAGAGACTATTGTGTGTGTGTG